GACCTGGGCTCAGAGAGGAAGCGACAGCAGCGCGGCCGCAGGGCGCCTGCGCGAACACGCACACAGCCCGAGTGCACATGCGCACGAGGACGCCGGAAGTCGCCGGCCGGGGCCCATTCGAGGCAGCGGGACTCTATTTCCCATAAGTCCGCGTGCCGCCCAGTTAGGGAGCGTCTTCCAAGGTCTCCAGCTGTCCGGCGGTGGAGAGCCGCTGCGCCGGGAGAGCTCGCCGCCGGGGCGGGAAGCCAGGTTCCCGTTTGTCTTCCCTCCTGTGGGGAATCTAGGAAGGGCGTCTCCATCCCCCACAACCGGGCGCGGGAACAGAGGGGTGTATCATGTCCACTTATCTGAAATACTAGAAGTTTCACCAAAATACTAGGAATCAATAAATGGCCCGCTATAGGTTGTCCAAGGAAGGAAGGATAATAGAAATCGTAGCTTTTCTAGATTTCACAACTAATGCTTAAAACTATAATAATCAGTAAATACAATTGGAAAAAGGTGAGAAGATCTTACCTCGGAAGGAGGATTGTTGGGGAAAAAGTGTCCCTTTTCAAAAATGGGCTCGTCAGGACAAAGATCAACCCCTCTATGGTGAAATAATACAACTGTGTTTCCAAAAAGCTGATGGGGAGATTGGGGTGGAGGGCGGGGGCGGGCCAGAAGGGGTCAAAGGGGGAAAAAGGGGGACATATGTAATACTTTCAACAATAAAGATGTAAAAATAAAAAAAAATAAAACCAGGCAATCAATCAAACAATAAAATAAAAAGCTGCCCTAACCAGTTTGGCTCAGTGGATAGAGCGTTAGCCTGCGGACTGAAGGGTCCCAGGTTCGGTTCCGGTCAAGGGCATGTACCTTGGTTGTGGGCACATCCCCAGTAGAGGGTGTGCAAGAGGCAGCTGATTGATGTTTCTCTCTCATCAATGTTTCTATCTCCCTATCCCTCTCCCTTCCTCTCTGAAATCAATAAAAACAAACAAACAAACTACCTGGTTGGTGGTCCCCAGTTTCTTCACTATGACATTCATAAAGACTTGGTAAAATAGGATGCACTAAAACAATTAGAAGAAAAATGATAAAAAGCAAAGTCCAAAACCATGTGT